CGCAGCTCCTGCAGTAGCACAGAGTATATCACAGTGGTTGGCTTAGATAGCGGGAGCGATTCATCCAAACAACTTCTTAGTTCGTTGCTGTAACATGGATTAGCTTGCAGTTTTGCTAGCGGTTCTTTCCTTCTCTCTTGCCGCCTGCTCCTATTCAAGCGAACGCTACGCATCCCCTTACTATACCCAGTTTGCCCGATTCAATCCATATGCCTCCTTCCCCTGCACGGGCTCAGATCCGCGCAAGGGAGTGAGGATGGGAGAAGGGGGTCACTCGATACTAACTCCCACCTTCCTCACCTCACCCCATTCCGTACTCGCCACTCCACCCCCCACCTTGCCCCTTGCACGCGCTTACGTCCAACTGCCACGCGAGCAACCCGTGCAATGGCTCGGAGTGTAGTGGTTTTCTTATATAGTGGAGAGTGTTATCACAACCAAAACAACTTCTTAGTTCGTTACGGTAACATAGATTGGCTTGCAGTTTTGTTAGCGGTTGTTTCCTCATCCCTTGGTGCGCGTTTCTACTGAAACGCGCGCTACGCACCCCTCACTGTACCCCCTCCCCGCGACCCCTCCCCTCCCCCCATACACTTGCTCAGCTCCGGCTGAGCACGTGCAGGAGAGGGAGGCAGGGCGACCCGGTACCCCCACCCTGCCCCCGCACGAGCACACGTCCAGCTGCCACGCCAGCAGCTCGTGCAATGGCTCGGAGTGTACCGAATGGTTGTCTTATATAGCGGAGGCTGTTATCACAATCAAATCATTGGACATCCTTCCAGTCGGTTACCGGTTTGCCTAGCGGTCGTTTTCGCCTCCAGCGAACTCGAACCCGTGAAGTATTTTGCGGACGGACAGACAAACATACATACATACCTACAAACCTACATACATACAAACATACAAACCGACACACAAAGTTACTGGTTTATAGAATGAAAGGATCAGTTCTGAGCCGTCCTAGTACTAGCCTGTTACTCTATGCCTTACTCAAACCATGGCGATTCTATTGAGCTGCTCTAGGAGCTTTGAAGCTTCCGTGGACAGCGGTAGAGGAGAGGAAGTCGGGAACGCTAATTCTCATCGACCTCACGTTCCGTAATGATAACCTGAAATTAACAGAAGTAAACAGCTCTGAGAACAGATTTCCATTGCAGTGTTATAGAGCACGAAATTTGCTATCAGAACATGCAAAACATATCAGCGAAACATTCAACTATTAGCATAAAATTTCAGGTGGAACAGACGTGAGCCTGCCCAATATCGGCGAGGTGAAGGTTGCCAACTTTGAAATTCTTGAAATTAGTTCCAAAGCGTCCTATTGAGATTCTTGCTGAGACTTCTAGCTCAACCTTTTCCAAATGTATGGAGCAGCTTAAGCGATTTTAGCACTTACAAGGGAGGTCGTTCAGGGCGTGGTGCGCTTTTCGAAAACGGTTTTTTGCATATTGTAGGGGCTCATGCAAGGACCTGAAAAGTGTGCTTCATTTTCGCTGCGCGCTTCCAGGAAAGGTAAAAAACGAGTGAAAAGAAATCTTTGGAATCTGCTTCGTTCTGGGCCTCTATACGGCGTAGGTCACTTGCAACTTTGACCAGTTGCTGAGTGGGGGGTCCTTATAAAGGGCTATTTGAATCGAAGCGAAAAATCGCCGCAAGTGAGCTTCCAACTTGGGTCATGTGCTCAAGGGTGAACGGCTTCTTGCAATGGTTTCATCAACGATAAGAGCGCTAGCAGAGTCGAGCATCGGATGGCCTAGCGGATAGAGTGGAGGTTTCGCAATCGGACAGTGAGGGTGGGGTTGATGGTTCGGCTCCCCTTGCGTCGTGGCTTTTTGCATTTTTTAGATTTCGCTGTTCTCGCTTCCATTAGTGTCTGCGCATGAATATAACTCGGATATTTGCCATTTATGGGCACATTCTGAGTAGCTGTACCTCATGAGTCAGTGCTATTCAACTATTTCGATTTTCACGCACCATTGAGCAAGATTGTTGCTGGACGTTGATCCTCATAGGCTATACAGTCTGATTGCGAATTTAGTAATTCTGGTGTGGTGCGATTATAGACAATTTGGGGCCACATCTTCTTTCCACTGAATTCGTTATGTACACCAATATAGGGAACGTTCAGCGCTATTCTGTCGCCAAATTGCGTGGACGCCAAGAATAGGTGTTATATTTGTGATCGGCCACTGATCACCCCTACAAAAGAATTTTCGGTTGTTTATTAGGTTGTCCGGGGGTGGTCGCGTCAACGATACGTCATCGCTGTTACGAAGATGTGAGACTCCGCTCACACTGCCGACCAAATGGTCGGTCACCTACAACCCGAAAAAGTCAAAAAAAATTTTTCGCTCAAAACTTGCTCCTAGGGGTAATCGACAGTCCTGATCACGATTCTAGACAATCCTACTTTTCTGTTTTTTCGTTCGAATTCGTTAGTATGCACAGACTCAGCTCTTCGGCGCTATGCCGGTGCCAGATGGCACTGGAACCGAAAATAAAGTCTAGTGATCAGGACTGTCGATTACCCCTAGGAGCAAGTTTTGAGCGAAAAATTTTTTTTGACTTTTTCGGGTTGTAGGTGACCGACCATTTGGTCGGCAGTGTGAGCGGAGTCTCACATCTTCGTAACAGCGATGACGTATCGTTGACGCGACCACCCCCGGACAACCTAATAAACAACCGAAAATTCTTTTGTAGGGGTGATCAGTGGCCGATCACAAATATAACACCTATTCTTGGCGTCCACGCAATTTGGCGACAGAATAGCGCTGAACGTTCCCTATATTGGTGTACATAACGAATTCAGTGGAAAGAAGATGTGGCCCCAAATTGTCTATAATCGCACCACACCAGAATTACTAAATTCGCAATCAGATCACTGTATAGCCTATGAGGATCAACGTCCAGCAACAATCTTGTTCAATGGTGCGTGAAAATCGAAATAGTTGAATAGCACTGACTCATGAGGTACAGCTACTCAGAATGTGCCCATAAATGGCAAATATCCGAGTTATATTCATGCGCAGACACAAATGGAAGCGAGAACAGCGAAATCTAAAAAATGCAAAAAGCCACGACGCAAGGGGAGCCGAACCATCAACCCCACCCTCACTGTCCGATTGCGAAACCTCCACTCTATCCGCTAGGCCATCCGATGCTCGACTCTGCAGCGCTCTTATCGTTGATGAAACCATTGCAAGAAGCCGTTCACCCTTGAGCACATGACCCAAGTTGGAAGCTCACTTGCGGCGATTTTTCGCTTCGATTCAAATAGCCCCTTTATAAGGACCCCCCACTCAGCAACTGGTCA